TATATATATATATATATATATGCTTTGCATTTTTTACATTTAGCCTTGTTTTTTCCCTGCTGTCCAAACAGACCTGTAACTTATTTTGGGGTTGTGAACTTATCTAAAATGTAGCTCAATGTTTCCAGGCGCTAACAGATCCCATGTGTTATGAATCAGAGTTTCCCAGACTGACACATCTGCAGTGTTTTCACAGCGCTGAAGTGTGTTTCCTCTGCCGAGGATCGTGGTAATGGGACATACATCTTTGATTCCAATGCAGCCAAAACACAGAGAAATAATGAGGCATCCTCTCCACCAAAGACCAATTACTGCATTCACAGGGCAGTTTCTCACGCAGTTGCATCCAAAAAAGAAAGAAAGAGACAGACAGACAGAACGTGGCTCGAGTCCCTTTGGCCAAAATAAAGAGTCATTAAGCGGCCGAAACCGTTTCTCTCTCCGTCTGTCCACTTCAGTCATTAAAGTAATTACTACATCGAGGATATGATCCGTGAAGCACTTAATAAAGCAGCCAATCTGAGCTCAATCAAAACTAAATATATGACAGGTGTTACCTGCATATGCAAATTACTCTGTCATTTTCAATAGGCTTCTGTTCTCTTTCTTGTAAAGACTTGTGTTGTTATTTGTTTGGCTGTTTGCAGTGGATTCGTCTCTCTCTCTCTCTCTGTGTGTGTGTGTGTGTGTGTGTGTGAGACAGTCAGTCAATAAAGAACAGGATGGGAAGAAACTGATGAGAGAAATTCATTTAAAATTTTATTTAAATCTAAAATGTAATTTTAAAAGAAAAACACTCAAAGACCTAAATAAACACACCTTAGAAGACCTCAGAAGGCACTTTTGATTTTCTGTCGTCCTCAAGTGCACTCACTAAAAGCAAAATTTTTCCAAAAATCTGTAATAAACAATCATTTATTTTGCAGCAAATCAACAATCATCTGCTGGAATATAAAAACATGCACCTGATGATGCCACCTCCACACCCCACTATATGAAAGAAAGCTAGTTGTCACACTCTTCACGCCAATGAATATTTCTTAAAGTTTATTTTTGAAAGTTAATTTCTCTTACACACACCTTAAAGACTCAACAAAGCTATAGAACATTTAATTATCGCATCATTTGTTTGTGTGGTGGAAGTTGTCACAATGGAGCTAAATCCAAAGAATTATAAAACAATAAAAAAAAAAACTATAAAACGTACCATTAGGGCTGCACAATTAATCAAATTTCTAATCGCGATTACAATTATGGATGCCACAATTGCGTAATCATTCAAAGCTGCAATTAATCGTTCAAAGTCCACTTATGTTATTCTGTGTGGTTAAGATGCTTTTTTTAAATTATCTTAATTAAATTAGATTAGTTATCTTAAGGTTTTTTCCATTGTTTTAACTTTAGTTTTAGTATAACACTATAATACCATTTATATTTTTTACTTTTTTTATAATTTAAAGAAGAAACCAATCCGATGTATAGTTGACATTTGAGGCTTAATACTATAGAAAAGCAATAAAAGTTTTTCAGTTAGAGTGTTTTCAGCTCGTTTATTTTCATATAAAAATATGGCATGCAGTTGCATCAAACAATGGAATAAACATCATTCAATGTAAATTGTGATAATCGTAATTAATAATCGCAATTACAATTTCAAGGCAATAATCAACAATTATGATTTTTATCATAATCGTGCAGCCCTGTGTACCATACAAAAAAAATAAAAAATGAAACCATTGGTTTGCCCAACAAAAATAATAATTGTGAATAAATTGTTTGAATTTATAATGTCCCAATACAAATGTGAAAAGCTGCCCTATAAAAAAAAAAAAAACATTTAATTTATTTATTTCTATATAATTGTGTTTGCCATTGATGCAATGCTGCTTCAAAAATTTAAGTTAAGAATTTTCTCTTACCGTGCTTCACATTTGGCAAATGATCCCTTTGAATCTTTTCCACAGTTTCCATACGGATCTCCCGCCGAGTTGACTCTTTCGAAACAGATTCCTGGAGCTGGTTTTGCACCTGTTAAACACACACAATGTTCTTCACATATACTGAACACACAGATGAAGTACAGACGGCTGCAGTAGCGGTTCCTCCAGGCCTGCGGGTGGCGCTGTACTCACCCTGTCCCCACAGTGTGATGCACTGCTGCTCGTGTGTCTGGCAGATGCCGTTGTAACAGTGTCCATCCACACCCTGACAGGTGTGTCCGTCGTGCAGGTAGACATTAGCGGGACATTGAGGATCGGCACCTGTGCAAAACTCCGGCAGATCACAGGAGTTACTGGACTCACGGCACCGGGTCCCTGCAGGCTTCAACTACACAACAAACACATGACAATTACTTAATAAAGTCCTTTCAGCCAATACAAAATAACAGTTTACGTTTATCTTAATTTATTAATGTTCCTGGTTTTATTATAATTGATTCATCAGTGCATGTTATTCTAAAGAATAAATAAATTTGATTGTTTTAGAGTAATATGCAATATTTGTTTGGTTATTTAGGTGGTTTAATAGCCTACTTTTGTTGACATTATTATTTTTAAAATCAAAAACATATAAATGTGAAAAAGATGCATTGACAAATAAAGCACAATGAGAACAGTGACTTAAGTAAATATTTCGTATGAATATAATATGGTAATATTTTATTTAATATTTTATCATATTTGACATTGTATTAAGTAACATTTTATTGTAAAATAACTTGACATTTAATAAATATTTCTAAATAAATGTATAAAGTGCATAATTAAATGCATAAAATACATTTATTTTGCTGCACAATTTTATTTTAAGTACATGAAATTAACAAGATATAAAAGACAGCAACAAATAAAATAAATTATGATGAACGTCAAAAGTTACCTGACAGTCTTCACAACACTGTCCATGCGCACATACGGCTTCGTCCTTCAGTGTGCATGTACTGGCATTACAGCAGGGATTCAGACACTCCTACAGAGGCACATATTCATATAGCGGTTTTTAACATTGATAATAGCAGAAATGTTTCTTGAGCAGCAAATCAGCATATTAGAATAATTTCTGAAGTATCATGTGACACTGAAAATTCAGCTTTGATCACAGAAATAAATTACATTTTAGAATTTATTCAAATGGAAAACAATAATTTTCAATTGCAATAATATTTCACATTTTTACAGTTTTTACTGTATTTTTGTTCAAATAAATGCAGCCTTGGTGAGCAGAAGAGACTTCCTAAATACGTTTTTTTTTTCTAATTGAGATGTGACTCAAGTACATTTGCATATGTGTAAGAATCGTGTCTAAATAATTTCCCAGATGCTTTTCTCTGACTGCTGGCTCTGTGGAAATTCATAAATTGAACATGAGCATTGTTGAGGGATGCACAGACACAAACATTGTACATTTTTGCTATGCATTCTGCACTGCCAGCAACATTTCAACAAAGACATCAATGAACAGATTTAAACCCTCAGGAAACACCTGAAGTGCTCAGACACAAACAAAAGCTTTTCTCTGCGGCCCTCGCAAAATCTCCTGGTCCAGCGTGACAGATGCATCTCATTCTCGTGCTTCTTCTCACAGCGTGGTCACAGAAAACACTGTTTATTTCAGATTTGGAGGAGTGGCTGCTAATGATGCACGACTCACTGGAGAGTGTGAAAATTGTGGCACATATGCGGCGCTTAAGGGAAACATGTAAATGTCTGGATGAAATACGTTTTCGAAAACAAAACATACACATGAGCTCCGACGTACCTCCACATCTCCGCAATCGCACTGCTCTCCCTCCTCGACGTATCCGTTTCCACATTTCTGGCCTCCGTAGAGCACCTTCACCTCCGGCATGTTGAACAAACACATGCCCACACCTTTCTCCATACTCGCCGCAAGATCCTTCTTACTGCACGTACTGAAGACCGTAGGGAAAGGATACCTGAAAGAAAGCAGAAATATTACCTCGGTGATGATTTTTAAGAAAACTGACCGTTCACTCTTGTACGATTTTATGGCGGTTGACAAGCCAACTTATGGTGTATTACCGCCACAAACTGGACTGGAGTGTGAAGCATTAACGGGAAAGAGGGAAAAAATAAATAAACCAACCAACCGGTAGTATTATTATGAAATGTAAATTCTACTTTCTAATCCTGTTATCTTCAGATAACTAAGAATTTCTCTCATATTACTTGTCTGTCCTGAGGCACAACTTAAAAATTTGATATAGTGAAATGAATTACTCCTATGTTTCTCAGTTTCTTAAAGGGGTCATATGATACGATTTCAATTTTTCCTTTCTCTTTGGAGTGTTACAAGCTCTTGGTGCATATGTAATCTTTGGATATATACAGCTGCAGCTGACTTTCCTGATGTAGGATCTTTAGAACCATCTGTGAAGATATGGAGCATTGAAGAGTAATTTTGATCTAGATATTGTTGAACAACAACCTCCTTAGATAACGTTTTCTCATTCTTAATCATATATTGTAGATGAAAATCTACTTGAGGCATAGGAAGCAACCAAGGAGGAATATTCGATATTACAACAGAGGGACTAACTGAGATTTCTGTAATACCCAAAATCGTAGCATCTCTAATTGCTGTGCAACCAAAACTTTTGATTTTATTTTTCCCATATTCCCAGCAATCCTTCAATATGTCCTTTACTGGATGTAATTCTGAATGCCCTTTTACATTTATCCAATAATTCATAGTTAATTTCAATTTTCGTAAACTTATAGGCATTTCTCCCACCTCCACTTGTATGGCTGATATTGGAGAAGATCTGAAAGCTCCACTACATATTCTTAAAGATTGTGCCTGAACAGTTTCTACTTTTTTAATCAAGGATTTAGAAGCAGATCCATAAATTATGCATCCATAATCAATTGCTGACCTAATCAGTGCACTATATATTCTTAGTAAAGATTTCCTACTAGCTCCCCATTCTATTCCTGTTAAACATCGTAGTATATTATTACTTTTTTTGCACTTATCTACCAACTTCTGAATATGTATCTTAAAGGTCAACCTGGAATCCATCCATATTCCTAGATATCTTATATCTTTAACTTGTTCAAGTACTTGTCCATATAACTTCACTTTTATTTCAGGGATATGATTCCTCTTCGCAAAACAGACTAGTTGAGTTTTAGTCACCGATAGTCGAAAACTCCATTTGTTAGCCCATTTTTCCACTTCATTAACCGCTGATTGTATAACTCTTGTCACATGAGATACATTACGACCCCTTTTCCATATCGCTCCATTGTCAGCATAGAGAGATCTTCCTATATCTATTTTAACAGTTTGGAACACATCATTTGTCATGATATTAAACAATACTGGACTGCACACACTTTCTTGTGGAGTACCATTATCTATTTTATATATCCTGGAATATGAATCACTTCCCCAAAGAGTACTGTGCGCATTAAAATCCCCACACCATATCACTTCTTGATGACCTATTCTCAAGATACTTTCTAACACTTCCATACTAAGTCTATTACAAGGATTATAAAAATTAATCACCGTGATAAATGACAGAATTTTCATTTTTGGGTGAACTAACCCTTTAAAAACAACCCAGAATGCAATAACAACCATAAAGCAACTGCCTAGCAACCACCCACAAATATCCCACAAACATTCTAAAAACACGATAGCAACTCCCTACTAACGACTCACAACATAGCAACCCTAACCCACTCAGAATGCCACAGCAACCACCCACAAACATTCTAAAAAATCACATAGCAACCACCAACCAAGACCTTGGCAACGGCCCACAACACCCTAGTATTGAGTTTTAAATGCACAGAACATCTTATTTTCTTCAGAAATTGTAAAACTCTAGTTCTTAAGTACTTTAGTTTTCTGTTTCCCACAAGACATAGAAACACTTCCACGCATGGTGGAGATGATTTCACTGCAAACACACACACACACACACACTCACACAGTAAAAGTGGCCCACAAATCCACTCTGAATATCACTGCTCCCCTGTGGAGCGTAACAAAATTTTTCACTGCAGCGTCTACATGACGAAATCCCGAGTTTACAAACAACCCAACAGCCAGAGAAATTACAGCCCTCGTTTGTGACTGACAGCGACTCGATCGAGCTCCCAGAGAGAAGCATATGGTGCATATTATGAGACTGGCTGATGAGCTCATGATGGTGAAGACCATCTGTGATCAGGGAGGGATTTTAGGAGGATTTAGGGATGGTGATTGCAGGACTCGATGCAGGTGTGAATCATTACAGTCAGCCGGTTTCATTAACACACTGAATGCTACATCACTAAACATCCTGATGAATTAAATCAGTATGATTGGTTGAGTTACAGCACATGCTGTAGATCTGGAGGTTGAGTATTAAACACACAGATGCTCAAAGACGTTCTTACAGCGTTACATTACTTAATCTAAGAATATTTAAAGGGGTCATATGATGCGATTTCAAGTTTTCCTTTCTCTTTGGAGTGTTACAAGCTGATTGTGCATAGATAAGGGGCATAGAGGACCTACAATAATGTATAGTATTTGAAAAATAATGTGTTTTTTGAACATTAAAGCATGTCAACATATTCTGTTACACCAAATACACCAAATAATGATCTTTAAAAAAGCATCATATGACCCCTTTAACTATTTGTACTGCATGTTATGCCAAATATCACTATAAAGATGAATTTTCTTTTAAATTTGAATAAAGTTCAAACCCATGAAAAATGGAAATGAATTACAATGAAGCACTGCAAGTGATGCAAATTAATAAAAAATACTGTATTTATACAAGATATTTACACAGACTATATGGGCATTATTGCAAAATAATCAGACCCTAAATATGTATACACACAAATACTCTATACAATACAATCAATCAGTCAATAAATGCCATTCATTAATTGCCAAGTTTGGGGCCAATAAAACCTTTATTTGTTTATTTTCAAAAAGTAATACTTGTATTCAGCATGGGTGCATTAAATTTATCAAAAGACACAGAATGTTTTTTTTTTTTTTACATTGTTTATAAAATCAAATAAATGCATTTTTTTTCATCAAAAAATCAGTAGAAATGTGTCACATTTTCCACAAAAAATATTAAGCAGCACAACTTTGATAATAACAATATATGTTTGATGAGCAGCAAATCAGCATATTAGCATGATTTCTGAAGATCATGTGACACTGAAGACTGGAGTAATGATGCTGAAAATACAGCTTTGATCACAGGAATAAATTGCTTTTTTAAATATATTACAGTAGAAGACAGTTATTTTGAATCATAATAATATTTTGCAACATTACCATTTTTTCTGTATTTTTGATCAAATAAATGCATCCTTTGGAGCATAAGAGACTTCCTTAAATAAAAAAAGACTGACTGCATCCTCAGCATGCCTCAGTGCTTCTGCACGAACAGGAAGAGAGCCAGAGCTCATCTTCAGACTGCACTGCTGTTGAATATTACTTCTTTAAATACATACAACATGCTTAACTGCTAAAGATGAAGCACAGACTGGAAACTTTAATGCATGTTCTTCAGACGGAAACTCATAACCCGCCTGTTGTAGCTCGATTTTCTTTCTCGAGGTTGAAGATTACTCGAGTCCTGTGTGATTGTGATGAGTTTGTATTCTGTAATAGCTCTTGAATTATTGAAATTGTTTGGCACAGACGGGTTTGATTGGCTCTGATGTGATTGTGATGTGTGTGGTGCGTCTCTGCTGTGAGATGTCATGCAGTTAGAAACATCTGTCAGTGCTGTCAAACACATCGCATGGCGATAGGAACCGCGGGAATCCATCCAGGTTGCCTGGTTCTGGTCTGGATTTCCAACATCAACCATGACTATATGAAATGTTTCAAATTTGGTTGTTGCATTTGTTTGTACAAATTAACATTACATAGATCCCATCTATGTACATTTTCCAACATATTTAGCATTTTGGTCACAGGCTTCTCAATACGGCTTTCTTGATTTATAACCTTAAAGGGGTCATATGATGCGATTTCAATTTTTCCTTTCTCTTTGGACTGTTACAAGCTCTTGGTGCATAAAGAAGATCTGTAAAGTTGCAAAGACTAAAGTCTCAAATCCAAAGAGATATTCTTTATAAAAGTTAAGAGTTAACCACGCCTACCTAAAACGGCTCGTTCTAACACGCCCCCACATATCTACCTCACTATGTGGGAAGATTTACATAACGCCGCCCAAATGTTCACGCAAAGAAAGAAGACGTAACTTTTATTCTCGATGTAGTTTTGTTGTTTCCGCCGCCATGTCGTAAAATATCACTATAAAGATGAATTTTCTTTTAAATTTGAATAAAGTTCAAACCCATGAAAAATGGAAATGAATTACAATGAAGCACTGCAAGTGATGCAAATTAATAAAAAATACTGTATTTATACAAGATATTTACACAGACTATATGGGCATTATTGCAAAATAATCAGACCCTAAATATGTATACACACAAATACTCTATACAATACAATCAATCAGTCAATAAATGCCATTCATTAATTGCCAAGTTTGGGGCCAATAAAACCTTTATTTGTTTATTTTCAAAAAGTAATACTTGTATTCAGCATGGGTGCATTAAATTTATCAAAAGACACAGAATGTTTTTTTTTTTTTTACATTGTTTATAAAATCAAATAAATGCATTTTTTTTCATCAAAAAATCAGTAGAAATGTGTCACATTTTCCACAAAAAATATTAAGCAGCACAACTTTGATAATAACAATATATGTTTGATGAGCAGCAAATCAGCATATTAGCATGATTTCTGAAGATCATGTGACACTGAAGACTGGAGTAGTGATGCTGAAAATTCAGCTTTGATCACAGAAATAAATTGCTTTTTTAAATATATTACACTAGAAGACAGTTATTTTGAATCATAATAATATTTTGC